AGGATAAATTATTCAAAAAGGAGCCTAAGGCTAAAGAGAAGCTGCCGCTCTTATCTGTGTTCTAAAGCTGATGGTCGGGGATGTAGTGGAGAATGTTTAAATAATCTGATAAACCTTAAAAACACCGTAGACTCTTCACGGCAGCGAGTTGTGCGTGTCCGAGGAATGGCCGAGGCTCATTGAAAACGTGAAAAAGATCGGGAGTTCGACCACCATCCTTGTCCATATGACATCTGTTCATTTCCTTTATTTAAACAAATTAAAATCCTTTGAGATCAAGATCTCATTTGCAAGAGGGACCTTAGCAAGAGTTATGAGTCAAACATAAAAATTTAATCAATTGAAGAATTCAAACAATCAAAAAATGCTGAATGCTTGTATCCTGTTTTCTGTCTGAACACTGGGACAAGCAAAAGAAAAATGTTGGAGTGAAGGGCAATTGTTTGTTTTTTGTTAAAGAGAACTTCAGATGGAGTCTGGCCAGGCAGAGTCTAATAAATCAAAGTCATCCAGTGAATACGTCTAACACTCAGATAAGGCCAATCAGTTTTACTATACAGCTCACAATGATGTGTGAGGCACCTGCAGCCTATTACATCCCTGACAGCACAATGGTAAACAGTGAGCAATGATTGGAGACATTTAACKGAGGCATTCATATACAAAACATCACCAGAATCAAGCAAAAGGTAAGCAGGTTGCAGATTTTATTGTTTTTTTTTTTAGCTTTTAGGGGGGAAAATGGAATCTATTGTGGAACCCTCACCCTCTTTTTTTGGATCGAATTGGCATTTTCTGAAAAGAGAGCTTCTTATCGAATGTAAACCTGTGGAAAATTTAAAGAYGTCCAGACTTCAGATTTTGTAATGGAACGAAATGTAGAACGGGCTGGCACTGTTCTCTGGCTGCTCCTGCACCCTTCCCTTTGACACATGGGAAAGCTTATTTGCACAATCGGTGGTGATTAGCTCTTGATTTGGCTTGCTCTGTTTGTGAGATCATGTCAGTGGACGGATACAAAAAAAGGAAAAGAAAAAACCTATCCCACTGAGATTACAGCTGTAGCTTAGCCATGACTAAAAATGCTTGTAGAGAACCACATTGAGACAGAGAAGAGTAAAGAAGGAATGRAGGAGGGGGTATGGTTGAAGAATAAGAAAAAAAATTGTAGGAAGTGGAGAAGTTAGGAGCCTTTAAAGCTCAGGTCTTCTGCTCTTTTTGCAGTTTTGGATTATGGCAATAAAATGGAAAGTTCTGCTAATGTTTTTATAGGTTTTATCGAAGGAAAAAAATCAATTTAATTCAACTACATGACTTTCGTCAATGATTTTCTGAGGTGTGGTTGCTAACAAGCCAAGTGTTAAATCTGCGTTATATGTCTAGTGAAAAGAGCTTATAAAGTCTACTTTGCAGCAGTGATTTAGGGTGTGTGGGTTTGATGGCTGGGTTGCATGTGCTGGCTGCACCCTTCACTTGGTGTTGGGACTTTGGCTTGGCCCGGTGCCCCAACATAGCTGGTTAGGCCAAAGAATTTTCTCTCACAGTAATGGCTGTTCTCGTCTTCGCTCTATCTCTCCGTCCCATACTCCTCCACTCATGCAGCCAACCGTACAAGCAGGAAGACTTCTCACTATCTGGGTGTTCAGCCAACAAATCCCCAGCCTTCTCCTTTGGCCTGCTCTCTACAACCATATATCAGGCTGACGGCTGGTGGAGAACCCTTCAACCAGCCAGATGAATAAAGGAGAGATTAAATCCATTTAATTACTCATTCAACAGCTTTGTGGCTTTTAACTTCTACAGCTGTGGAGAAATTTGATATTCTTCATTWAAAAACAAATGCTGAAGGAGTTGGCTAGTCACAAAGAAATTGCAGTTTTATGAATGTAAATAATTGCATAGTCAAGTGTTCCCAACTGTGTCTGTTTGATTTAAAGCTCACACCAGTGTGCAACTAGGGATGAGGAAGAACAGCCAAAAGGTTTGAAAAAGTGTCAGAAATTGGCATCCAAACCTTTACAGTCTATTGATAAGTGCATTATCATCACAAAATAGAGCAAAAAAACTGATATTACACAAAGCAAGTCTACAGAGAGGTAAAACCAATTTTATTGACTGGGTTGAGGTATCTTTGGCTTCATCAGTGTTAATATTAGCGATGYATCTCAGTAATCCAGGTAGAAAAAAWTTAAAAGAAAAAATAAGTAGGTCCTCTGGATGGGTTCTTCTTTAGTGAACATTTCATCTCTCCTCCAAGAGACTTCTTCAGTCTGATGAGTTTCAGGTGAACTCAGCCTTATAAGCACTGCCTCCACATGGACAAACAGGTTAGTCACATGCAAAAGAGGGCCATCACCTAACAATAGGCTTGATTAGCTCTATTTAGTCACATGCAAAAGAGGGCCATCGCCTTACAATAGGCTTCATTATTAATGCAAAAGAGGGCCATCGCCTAACAATAGGCTTGATCAGGGTCCCAACAATAACAAACACAAAGAGGGAAAAAAAGACAAAAACAAGGGGACGTTAAGCCCCGCTTGCATTCACTACATACACATGACACGGCACCTAAGAACCACAGCATCCAAACCAATAAGTCAGGTGATGGGGCACATGACCCTCTATGAACCATAGAGCTAATCAAGCCTATTGTTGGGTGATGGCCCTCTTTTGCATGTGACTAACCTGTTTGTCCATGTGGAGGCAGTGCTTATAAGGCTGAGTTCACCTGAAACTTAGACTGAAGAAGTCTCTTGGGCAAAAGACGAAACTTTTCACTAAAGAAAAACCCATCCAGAGGACCTACTTATTGTTTCTTTTTGATTATTAGCGAACATTTGAACCAGCCTTCATTTTTAAATTGGTCTTCCAAAGAGCCAGATCGCCTGATATTTTTTAAAGATTTCTTTTTTGAGCTTCAAACTTTTGACTTTACCATTTTTTTGGTGGAATGTTTTTAAGATTGCTTTTTAAGCCGCCCTGACCGAGGCCTTGGTGTTGGTTCCTGAAACTGACTGCGACAGAATCTTGGCAATAACGTATTAAGAGTTCRTAAGAACAAGGTTACAACCACAGAAAAGACATTTATTATTCTGGCATCTCTCAATGATATTCAAAAGCCTCATACCAGCAGGTACGCCCTGCTGTTAAGAACGCATCAATTTGGCAAYGGCTTGCTTTTCAAACTGAGGTGAACAGGAGTGTGAGAGGTTGTTTTTTTTAATGTGACACAACAAACCCAAACCGAATTAAACTGCCGGTGCAAGGATATGTGTTAGGTGCACAAACTCTGTGATTCATTTTAAAGTCTAGGAGGACTTGCGGGTCTCTCAGTCTGATTAAAAAGAATCTTAAAGCCAGCTAATAAGAATGAACTTCTCATTTCTTAGTCATAAAATATTATCCTATATCTACTGAGTGTTTGTGTTCAGCATTCAGTCTCCCTTGGAGAACTACAGGGGCTGAGAGCCATGAGAGGCAGTGCTTTGTGCTGGAGAGGGAATGGGCATCTGGGAAAAAATAAAAAATAAAAATCKGAAGGGAACCCAGGGAGCTGCATTCTGCAGAACAGTTGCATGACCTTTTCTAAAATGCTGCCACCCGCCTGCCACTGTAACACAGTCAGGCTAATTAAAGTTTCAGTGGCATTGAATTTTCACTAGCATAGCACACCTCGGGCAACCTTGGGGGCTCAAAGAGGCAAAGACTGGCAATATAAGACAAGAGGGAGTGCAAAGCCAAGGAAACAGCTGAACAGGAGGACAGCCACTAGAGGACAGCATGACAAATCCAAGCAGTCAAAGTCTGTAGATTTTCTTCAACACAAAAGGAGGGAAAGCACAATAWTAAAATGCAGGCTTTATTCACCAACACTCCAAACGTATTTTACATAAGCTCCAATACGGTTTTGACCTTTCAAACCGTAAGAATGAAAACATTCAAGATCACAGGGAATTAGAAATTAAATAGAAACTGTCCAACTTTGCACAGCTGGGAGAATAAAAGAGTGTTTAGCTGGAGCGAAAAGAGAGCTATCCAATGTCAAAAAGCTGAGTGCTTTTCCAAATCTTATCGGGCTGCCTTTCAGCCTAATGGAATCTTGATGGGTCAGTTTCAAGAATAAATGCATGACTTATGACATGACTACTGGGAGCATTAGCCAACACACTGGACAGCATGTTCCCGTTTCCAAAGCATCATTGAATAATTGGCCACATTTGACCAGGACATTTCTGGAAAGATGGCCAAGAAAAGGTTACGCAACCAGACAGACTCACTCATAGCCTGTATTTCACAACCTGCTGGCCTTGTCTGCATTAATAATCCTGACCCCCTTTTTTTTCACCATGATGGAAGTAAAAAAAGAACTTAATGAAGATGAACAAAGCTGCTTGTGTGTGAATGAGTGAGTGTTTGAGAGAAAGAGAAGCAGAGGAAGAGATGGCCCAGGCGTCTTGTGAGCTCCAGCTTGATGAGGTCCTGGTCTRTCATTCCTGGGGGGGATGCAGTCCGATCTAAGCTTTATTGGGCCTAATTGAGCTGTGAGCAGGAATGTTTGTGTGTGTCCTTCCTCTATCAAGAACATTTTCCAGGGCTTTAAGAGCACCATTCTGCACAGGACTCTAAAATGTCCTCATTTAGCAGCAGTTTGATGGGGGGCATGCACAGAAAGGAAGATTTTTATGGTTTAGAATGTTTTCTTGGAGATAAAAATATAAAATGCTTAAATATTTGTCAACTTTTTTTTGGTTGCTGTTAATAATTTTTCAAAAATTTTGAAAAAATGTATTTTTCACCCCTACCCTAGATTCTCAATATTGTTTAAATCTCCTTTCATCATTACAAAAATAACGCAAATCTGCACAGAAATAAAAGTTTGATATGGTCAAAACAATCCATTTTTGACAAACATAAACACCTTTTACTGTTTGTCATGTACCAATCATGGAAATAAAGCACTCTCAGTGGCCCAAAACAAATTTGCAGGTGAATGTACTCACGGTTGGCAAAGTTTGATGAGGTCTTGGTCGGTAGTTCCAGGTGGCAGGCCACGGATATACAGGTTGGTCTTACTCAGCTGCTCTGGCCCTCCTTGGTTGCAGCTGTTGGTGCTGGGGCTGGGAGGAGCCATGGGATGAGGGGGTGGAGCATAGGGCTGCTGGGAAAATAAAAATAAGAAGAAAAAAAAGAAAAGATTTAATAAGCCATCCATCTATTTTCTTTACTCATTTCTCATCCTAAGTCACTGGTGCCTATCTCCAGCAGCCACTGTGTGAGACGAGGTGGACACATTAGTCCATCACAGGGACACATATAGACAAACAAGGCAAACAATTATTCACACTGGCAGGGGCAATTTAGAGCAGGGGTGTTCGATCCTGTTCCTCGAGGGCTACTATCCTGCATGTTTTTAAGCTGTCTCTGCTGATTAACAGGTTTTTGAAGAACATGAAAAGGTAATGCAATCATTGAATCAGAGCGGGGAAACAAATAAAACACGCAGGATAGCCGGACCTCCAGGACCAAGATCGGACGCCGCTGATTTAGAGTTACCAGTTAAACCAACATCCATATTTTCGGTTCACACGAGGAAACCAGAACGCCCGATGAAAACCCACGTGGTGAACGTGCAAACAGAAAGACCCCAGGCTGGGAAACGGTCCCGACTCTTCCTGAAAAGCGACAGCTCTAACCACTCCGCGGCCACGCCGCCTGATTTACTACAAATGGYTAAAAATAGTTTTCAGTTTCGAAATGTGGCGATTAAACACTTTAAGAGGTGCTGAGAGGTGATGGGTGACAACAACTGAGAAGGGAGTTAAAAATGTGAGAAAGTGAGTGTTTTTTTTCTTTCCTCTGGAAAAAAAAAGAAGAGCAGGCATTAACATCTCAGTGTCACTGCAGCTATGAGACAAGACATTTTAGGGCAGCTGTGAGGAAGAAAGARGAATAACTCAGTGTTGCTAAGAGATGAAAACCCAACAGCAATTTAAAATGAGTCAAACGTCAGTAATGCTCCCATGATCTCAAATAAGAATACATCGCATTCTCATATTAACAAACATAAATGGTCTCCAACTCCTCAGGTGAAACCATAGAAGGCAGATTTCAGTATTTTCACAACTGTTTTGCTTTTCCTTTTTTTCAGTTCACTTCATTTTGTATTTTAAGTAAACATTTCACCAAGGCGACACTGAAATTAGGCTTCATATGGCTTCCAGCAGCTTATAAACAGTTTTAAATGATGGCAACCTCCTGCTCTCTACTAATATTGCCAGAACCAATTTCATTACTCCCTGAAAACAATTTACACCTTCAAGGGTGTGAGATCCTGACGCAATAAACCACTCTAGCATATTTTATAACCAACCACATTTGAATGTGTTTTTAGTATATTCACCTCCTCACAAAAATGTATTCAAAATGTGTTAGAAATTTGATTCCTTCTTTGCTTTTTCTCCATCTCTCCCCTGCTCTCTTTATTTGCTTGTTGTGCTGTTAGTGTAGATTTATGGTATAGGAGTCAGGGCTCCCTGCTCACAGACCATTTATATCTCTATTGCAGGGACACTGCACATAATGACAGAGAGCGAGAGCCGGAGCCCTGTGGGCACGGAAGGAGAGAAAGGCAAAACAAGGCGAAGAGACATTGAACGAGTGTGAGGAATAATGGGCCACAAAAAGAAGAGAGCGGGAGACACAATGCAAAAAATTAATTGAGAGATGGATGAAGCAATGGAGAGGAAAAATGGCCGAGGAGAGAGTAAGACATGACAAAATACCACCAGCAGCTTAAGTTAACCAGGTTAACCCTTACCCTCCCTGGGGAGAACCTCAAAACCTCAAAGTATGCTGTAAGAGCACACGCACACACAGTTCAGGACACAAACACACACCGTTAGTCCTCCAATCTGCCACACACGTTAGCAGCGACTGTTGGAGCATGGCTGATTTGATGCACTATTTTAAGCGTGTGCCATGCCAGYGTGTCGCCCCCCCCTTCTCAGACAAAGAGCCGAGGTCCCTGGAGCGTGAAGAGGGAGCCACGTCCATCAATGGACGGCCAATTACCACGCTGAGCTAAAGGGAACTGATGGGCAGCCACTCGCTGTGCCGTATTAACACACACACACATGCACACACACACACGATGTATGCTTGTCTACGGCTGCAGGCACACACAAATACACACAGTGTGATAACACAGAAACACCTCTTTTTTACACAGGAGCAAAAACAGCCATCTACAAGGGAAAGTGCAACCAAAGCTCCTGGTGGCTGACATMGACGACTCAAATAATCTCACAGCCTAAAGTCAAGTTTTCTCATTGGAAACTGAAAAAAAGATATGCAAATATTTTAGGTGTCTGACAGCTAACCATTAGCATGAGCAGGTGTTTCTAAAACACAGAAACCTCTGATGGTTTTTAATGCACAGGTCTGACTGAATATTCATGACTTCTGACTGTGCTCCTTTAAATTTCAGATTTTTGTGAGAATAAACCTGGTTAAATAAATACAATACTGTTCTAATATTGAATATTGAGGCAGGTCTGTGGCATATGAAGCAATAATTTAAAAAGTCCTTAAGTGGCGTCTTCTATTTTAAAGACATTGTGGAACAAGCTTTAAAACAGAGGTGCCCAAAATGGGGCCCGTGTGCCAATTTTGGCCCACCTAGCCATTTGATTTGGCCCACCAGCAGTTGTTCTGGTTATTAGATTGTAATTAAGCTAAGATTAAATGTAAAATACAAGTAACTACAAGAGA